TTTTTTTTTTTTTTTTTTTTTTTTTTTTTTTTTTTCCACTGGATCTTTGTAAGGATTCTTTTAAAACTAACAAAGGAAAAACATTGAGCGCACAGTTTTCTCTTCCCCGCCTTTTTCCCGCCTTTTTCCTGTGAGTGGATTTCTGTCTCGCCACTCTCATGGTGGCTTCCGATCATGAACAAACCTCCCTCTCTCCCATTCTCCCACGGCTTTCTCCCCCACGCTCGCTCCCTCCTCCCCCGCACATCACCCACCCCTCCCAATTCCCCCCCGTCCTCCCCCTTCCTCCCTCTTTCCCCCCCTTCCCCCCCCTTCCCCGCCCCTTCACTGCCTGGCTCGTTTCCCCGTTGCCAAGTCCTCTCCTCCAATCGTAAGCCGTGGTCTCTCCACCTGACTGTCCGTTCCCGCTCTCGTCCGTGCTTGTCGCCGTCCGGATCCCGACCTCTGTGCTCGCCCCTGCGGCAAAATGGTTAAATTTTCCCGTCATTTTCATGTTCTCTCCTGTCCTCTCCTGTCCTCTCCTGTCCTCTCTCGTGGTCAGCAGTCATTTTTTGTCCGTACGTATTTCTCCTCCTCTCTCTGTTCCGCCATAGCTGGCCTTCTTTACCTCGGTCGCCTTGTTGCTTTCCTTTTCTCTTGATCCCGCACTGCGACCCGTGTTCCCCTTATCATCCACCTTCTCTTGTTTCGCCATACCTTCTCTTGTTTCGCCATAGCTGATCTTCTCCTCTCTCCTGTTGTCGTCCTTCGCTCTGGTTATTTTACTGTATTCATTTTCTCTCTTGTTTCGCTATAGCTGGCCTTTTCTGGTGTCGTCATCCACCTGTCTCGTCGTCATCAACCACCTTCTCTCGTGTTTCGCCATATCTCGCCTTCTCCTCTTTCGTCGTCATCCAGCTTTCTCATCATCACCCACCTTCTTTGTTTCGCCATCGCTGGCCTTCTCCTCTCTCGTTATCATCCACCTTGTGTTTTTTTTGCCATACCTGTCCTCATCAACCACCTTTTTCTCTTTTTTTTCGCCTCAGCTGGCCTTTCCCTCTGTCGTCATCATCCACCTTCTCTCTTTGTTCTGCCATTGCTGGCCTTCTCCTCTCTCGTCTTCATCCACCTTGTGTTTTTTTGCCATAGCCGTGTCCTCATCAATCACCACCTCTCTTTTATCGCCTCAGCTGGCCTTTCCCTCTGTCGTCATCATCCACCTTCTCTCTTTGTTCCGCCATAGCTGACCTTCTCCTCTCTCATCACGATGCATCTGGTCCATCATCATCCACCTCTCTCTCTCGTCATCCTCCGCCATAGCTGGCGTCTTTACCGTTTTCACTCGTACGTCGTTGATCTAGTAGATGAGGCAGCTCTGATGTGCCTCTGTTTTTACATCACTATTTTTATTATTTTTTTTCCATCACCCTATTTCTTCTTTTTTTTTTTCCATCGCAGTTTCCGTGTCAAAATGTATCTAGGCGATTTTGTTAAAAAAAAAAATAAAAAATTTCGATTTACGAAATAGTCAATTGGAAGTTAACATACAAAGTAATAAGAAGGGGGGTGACTTTTTTCTGAGCCTTGAAAGGAAAATCTTTAGTTTGATTTTTTAGGAATAAATTCAGTGGCAAATTGTCGTGAAAAATAAGTTTAAAAGAAAAAAAAAAAAAGAAGAAAAAAAAAGAAAATGAAATAAGGAAAAAGAAATGCGAACTTCCTTTTGCAGGAGCATAACGAATCTCTCTCGTCCTTGAACGAATTGATGGGAAGTCAACATAGAAAGAATTAATATAAAGAGAATTGAACGACGAATTGTCGTCCTTGTATGATGATTCATTTTGATGATTCATTTTGGGTCTTCATTTTGGGACCTGCGGCCGTTTTTGCCCGGGTTGGGGGAAAACGAATATAAAGGTTTTTGTAGCGGGGAGGTTTTACAATTTTCCCCAAAATTTAAAGAGTTAATTGGTAAATAATAAATATGTATATATATTTTTTGGAAGTAAGAAAAGAATTAGAAAATGCGAACTTCGCAAATGCAAGAATGTGCAACGAATCTCTGACCGTTTCGTCATTGTCGTCTTCTCTGTGTCAACTTCTCTGTTTCCTCCTCCTTTCTTCCTCTCTTTCGTCTCTTTCCTGTTTTCTCCTCCCTCCTGCTCTCTTTCCTCCTCCCTTTCATCCTCCTTTCTTCCTCTTTTTACTCCTCTTTCCTTTTTTCTTTCCTCTTTTCTTCTCCTTTTTTCTTCCGTCCTCTCTTTCCTCTTTTCTTCTCCTCAGTGCTCTCCTGCCGCCTCCCTTTCTTCTTCCTTTCCTCCTCTCTTTCCTCCTCTCTTTCCTCTCTCTCAGTTTTTGCTGTATCCGTTTTCTCTTCATGTATTTTCTCTGTGTGATCGAGTCCCATGTTCGTTTTCGTTTCTCTCTTTTTTTCCGTTTTGCTCGCGTGTTCTGTGCGTTACTCTCTTCGGTTTTGTGTCCTCTTCTCTCTCTCTCTCTCTCTTTTCTCTCCTCCGCCTCTCTCTCTCGCTCTATTTCTCTCTCTCCCCCTATTTCTCGCTCCTCTTTGTTTCTGTCCTCCCCATTTTTTTCCCTCTCCATTCCCTCCTCTTCTCCCTCCTCCCCTTCTCCCTCTCCTTCTCCCTCTGCTTCTCCCTCTCGCTCTCCCTCTCCCTCTCCCTATCGGCCGATCCCTCTCTCCCTATCGCCCGATCTCTCTCTGCCCCTATTTACGGTGCTCCTCCTGTTCTCTCTCGTCTGCACCCGCGCAAGTTGCGGAAGCCCCGCGCAAGTTGCGCAAGTTGCGGAGGTTGCGGAAGCCCCGCGCCCGCGCAAGTTGCGGAAGTTCATTCTGAACAAAATGGCGCTATAATGTGGCAAAGCTCATAATGGTGACCTTATCCATCGAAGGAAGCACAGTTAAAAAAAAAATAAGGAAAAAAAAAATAAGGAAAGAAAGAAAAAAGGAAAAAAAAAGAAGAGAAAAAAAAGAAAGCATAGGTTTTTGATTAACGGATAGGCATGGTAAGCAGACCGCTTTTTATTTATTTATTTATTTATGTATTTTTAGAAGAAAAGCCCGGTGTTCTTGTCCCTGCGCAAGAAACAAAAATATCGATTAGTTATTGTGGAGCCCTGCGATGATGACAAGGAACCGTCTTCTCGCTCCTGTTTTGCGCGTTAAGTAGTCGTTGTATGGGGATTGGTCCACGTGGCAGTCTGTCCTTACGGCGATCGTTCCACGTGGCGGTCCGTTGTTGGGTCTTTTTTCTTTAGCTGAGAATCCCCGTCGACAAGTATCTGGTCTCCTCTCTTGTAACTTGCGCACTTTATCAATGCTTTAAGCTGATTGGTCCACGTGGCAG